AAGTCAGATGGTAATTAATGAGTTTGTTAATAAACTTATTAAATTGGAAAAAACTCTTAATATAGAATGATTCATATTTGACTTGGTAATTTTCGGTCAAAAAAATTAGTCGGCGATATTGGAATCGGCGAAAATGAACTTCGGCGAAAGTGGACGTCGGCGAAAAAAAATTTCGGCGAAAACGGAAGTTACCGTTCTGATTGATTAATTAAATGATTTAAATTTTCAATGACTAACTGAAGATAATTTAATAACTGAAAATCAGAATAAGATTGAATATGAGATGTTCTTTGTAATCAATAATTATCCATTTAAATAAACTCATGTCTAGCGTTTTCAAATGATTCTTTGTCCATTACGGTTGTTAAAGAAATACCGTTACACAAAATGTAAAGTGATATAGGTATACTGGTTTCATGTTTTCATTTTATTTTGATAAAAAGAAATATTTCGAGAATATGAAGATTCTGCGGCTTGATCAAAGTAGATGTTTTATCTAAAATAAAATACCATATTTTTTTATGAGTTACCAGTTGAAATTAGTCATGATTATCAGTCTTCAAGCAAAACGCTGTAATGCAACAAGCAAATCAGAAAAATGAATGAGTCATTATTGTCTTTATTACATTGTTGAATGGCACAGCAAATATAGAGTCAATGTTAGGTAACGTCATCTACCGTTATGTATTTCGTACGAAACAGTCGAATTCAAATCAATAAATGCTTTAATTACTATGTAATTTATTTATATTTCACCTCCTTTGTAAGTAATAATAGAAAGATTATTTATAACAAATATTTCTTTTACGCTTTTCACATAATTCACCTGTTAGATATTGATCGAGCTGCGGACAAATTTTTCCAGTAATGATCAAATTGCAGACTATTTTTTTTCTTAACATACTTCGTTTTAGACAGTTCTGTTTTTCTTTTATCGATAGATAGATACATAGTTTTCCAGGTCCAATAAAAGAATTTTCTAATTAATTATCAATGCTCGAGAAACCTAGAGTTTTTCAGAAAATGATCCCTAGAATTTATAGACTTTTGACTTTTCGATTACGAAAAAACCAAAACAAAGTAAGAACAAAAGAAGTCCTCTCTCGTATCCAATGTGATAAGAAACACTGTTTCCCATGAAAGCAACCAAAGCTCTGCAGTTTGAAACATATTGATAAAAAGAATTTCCAGTGTAAAAGCCCTGCTTTGCAACTTGATCTCTGAAAATATCATGATCGATGAGGTATGAAGACGTTTAATTGTTTTATTAATATACGACTTCCATGAGCTGAATATTTATGCAAACTTTCATCAATATCTCGTGTACCCTTTCGATGTTTCATTTTTTAAAAGAAGAAGCGTTAAGAATGGTATCATTAGGAAGAGTTCATTTAATTATTTTTCAGTTGTATAAATCTCGTTGATTCATTCGTGTTAAAAATATTTATTTGAGACTCGAAGAAAAACTGTCTATGACTATTGAACTAATAGAGGTGGTAAATCGATGATTATCGATTTAAAAAGAGTCTTAGTTCCAAAACTTTTTCATAGATTTCGATAAAAAAACCTATTTTGCTTCGAATGAGTTCATTTTGAGACTCTGAGATGAATAGTATTGTTTTTTTCACCAAACGTCAATTTTTTGGATTTTCAAAAAGTATCCAGCATGTTTCTTATTATCTGAGTTATTTTGAAAAAAAGTGTGATATTCATGATTAATACATTCTATTCTATCGACGTATAACGGGTATAAATAGAACAAAGAAAAAAAACTTGCGCTCAGATACCTGAAGAGTATTCTAGACACAAAAATGTGATTTGTTATAAATTACAATATACAGTTGTGAAAAATTGCGAGAATCCACCGACTTTTAATGTGGAAATCAATTTTTGTTTTATGTTTAGTACTACTGAAATTTTGATAGATACGTCATTGTCAGAAACACAAATTAGCTGACTGTCATTGTTGACGGACGGGTCCCTAATAATTATGAACACCGTTTGTTATCGTAGATTACTGGTTTCTTCGCAGTAGTATCATCGAGAAAGGCTGCGACCATACCATTCGAAAGAGTGACATCCAAGGATTATGAGTATATAAAAATATTTTCAATCGAGTGTAAAGTACCCGTGAACTGAGTCTAGCAAAACAAGTGTTTTTTTACCGCCATTGTGACCCAGGTAATGAAACCAGACGACTTATCCGTCCAGTTATCGGCTCCATGTTTCGAGGGAAGTCGCCAGTATTTGTCATTTAACTATAAGGTTCATCGATCATTTTTTTTCTGAGAGACTCGCTTGCTTCTGCTTGATACAGTATTTAGAGAAAGTGTGGCTTTTCAGAAAACCTTTGGGTTTTCGCATTCTTCTTACAATTTGACGTGCATCAGATACCAGTGACATGATAAATCCGCCTGAAGCATTACCACAATGAAAACATGTCCTAACTTACATCCATTTTAGAGCTTCTTCCTGATTTTTCATTGGTCACAACTGACAAATCAGTTCTTTTACAGGTAGTTCCTGTCCAATTAGAACAAAAAATGCATAGAATATAAATACTATCTTAACTGTCAAGTTTTTTTTCACTTAGACATTATCCGAGAGTTGTATGAACAATGATTTCTAAAAATCTAGTTTTTTTACCGACATCTATTTTCATTTTATCGTTTTCTGTTTGTTTCGCTACTGAATGAGTACTTTTATAGTTTACATTTTGAACTAGGCTATTTGAATACTTTTAATCTATAGAAAACGAGAAAATGGTACTTTTCAATCTAGCGCAAAACTTTTGTGTTTCTACATGCAATTAGCGACCTTTGTGAACGGTTAACGGGGTTAACTACAAAAATTAATCCGATATTGGTAACGTGGGTAGAGACATTGATGGTATCAAAAGCAATGCTTCTAATAAAATTTCTAGATTAAAATTGAGTTCAGTAACAATGTTAAACAAAATGATATAGGCTTTAGTGGAATATATTTTTCGACCAAAGAACATCCTGAGAGAACCACAAGTGAAAATTTTCAAAAAAGAACTGAACGAAAGAATAATTGTCTGTTTGTCGAAAAATAGTTTTGATAAAGTCTATACTATTCTACTCAGTCTTTGATGGTTAACTCGATTGTAATGTCGAAATTTCAAGCATTGCCGTTTACCCCGATGCTCGATTCTGAGCCTCAAGCTAATCGAAAAGAAAGCATTTGTCATATTAATGTAAAGAATTCGACGTTTAGACATATTTTTAAAACTCTTTCAATAAATGAGTTTTGTAGAAGAAACACAGGAGGACGTTTCTCTTATATGAAATCTCACGAATCTACAACATTTTGCTGCAAAGAAAAGACAGCTTACACAAGGAAAAACTGTTTACACAAAGGCCGCTTTTAACACATTCCGACCCATATAGTGTTTCTCAATTTGGAAAGAGAAGTTGCTATGTATCTATATGGATTTTGAAGTGTGAAGAAAGACGTATATAATCAAATCAATGGAACATGAAGATTTTTACTCAAGAGAAAAAGTTGGTCATTTCGCAAGTCACAGGTCCATTTTTCATATTCTGTTCATATACAGAGACATACCTGCGCATTTATATTATAAAATACATCTTAGTATTTTTTTTTCAATAAAATTATGCGTCAATGTATAGGTGTGTAAATATATACCTAACTAGAGCCTCTCCTTTAAAAATTCATTGCTGAGAACGCATTTCTCTGTACTTTATTACTTTCTGATACAAAACAATAGTTGTTTTATTCTGAATTTAGAGACTACTACTCAGCTTTCTAAATGACAGATAACAATTGCAAAAGCATAAATGGATTCGAAAACTTTCAATGGTCAACTGTTATAAATCGTTTATATTTGAATAAATATCGACGTGTCATATCTAATGAACCTCCTATTCGTATTAAACTAAAACGATTTATATCTGATAGTGCAATGGAATTTTTACCTGTCCAAAATAGCACGGTAGAAAAAAATGACAGCCCATCTAACCAATCATTATCGTCTGATGATGTGCTCGTTGTACAAAATAGTGAAGTAAAAATAACTATCGAAGACGAATCAATGATGTCGTCTACTAGAAAAATGCATCCCATCAAAGCATGGTATCATCGTACAATTCCTGATTATATAACTTGTCATCAAGTATGGCTTATAATTCATATTTTAGTAACAATTACTTTGTGTGTACTCTATTTCACACATATAATTCAAATTTCAGCTGGTATTATATCTATTTGTGAATTACTTTTTGGAGTTCTTGTACGAAATGAAATATTCATAGCTTTACTCCATCGACTTGTAGTATTAACTCCATGTTTTAAATATGAATTCAATCGAATGTTACATTGTATTGGTGGTCTTCATGTTTCATCAGCTATCGCTGCTTTTTTCTGGCTTTTAATTTCTCTTATTTGTGAACGTCATGGTTTAGGTGTAAGAATAACTGGTGGAATTATTTTATTTCTTATTTTATTCATTTCATCAACAGCAATACCAATAGTTCGTCGTCGTTTTCATAATACTTTTGAACGTATTCATCGTTATATTGGTTGGACATCTTTGATCGTACTTCTTGTTCAAGTCGTCTTTATTCAATTAGATAAGTTTGATAAATTTAGTACAAAAGCTCTATTTAATGTACCTGTATTGATTTTATTAACTATTGTTATAATTATCTTTTTGCCATGGATATGTATTCATAAAGTACTAGTACAATATGATCAACCATCGAAAGATTTAACTATTTTAACGTTTCCTCGTACACTTTATCCATATGGTTCATTCACACGTATTTCATTAGATGGATATGAATGGCATGCATTTGCTATTGCTCTTACTGATCCATATAAAGATCAACATTCAATATTAATTGCAGTTGCTGGAGATTGGACAAAAACTTTAGCTGATAATTATCAAAATGATAAATTACCACAACATATATGGATTCGACGAATAAAAGGTCTTGGTTTTATGTATAGTATTCATGCTTATCGAAAAGTATTAATTGTATGTACAGGTTCTGGTATTGCTCCAGCATTACCATATATCAAAGATCCATTACCTACAACTCATACACATCTTTTATGGATTGCTAAAAAACATGCAGAGAATTATGGAGAAAATGTTTGGAAATTAGTTCAAAGAATTCATCCACATTATACTTTACATGATACATCAGTTAATGGACGACCTGGCCCTGAATTAGTAGAAGAACAATTTTGGAAAACAAATTCAGAAGCTGTATTTATTGTATCAAATGAAAAATTTACTATCGAAGTAGTTAATGCACTTTGGCATAAAAATATTCCTTGTTTTGGTGCTTTGTTTGATTCGTAATCATGTATATTTGTATAATAATAAAATCAATATTCTTTATGAAAGAAAATATATAATAAAACTGATTCCATTGCAGCCATCCATTCAGAATATGTAACAAATATAAAATCGTGAGTTTCTAATATTTTCAAGTCGTCATGAGAAAAAGTCGAAATCATATATTATGTTCATATTTACAGTTTTTTTTTCGATTGAAATGCTATATCTTGCTGAAGTTAACTCTGTTATTTTTTATATTCTTTCAATAAATTTAGTTTTTTTTGTTCATCCATTCATATTTTCTTTAATTTTGCTATGAATGAATTATTAACTGCAAAAAGGTTACATAAAATATGATTCATATGTTCAATACTTCATGGTAATAATCAAATACGACAAATAAGTGATTCTACACTTTGTCTTACTAAAATATCATACATACCAGAAATGTGCGGGACCGAAATCCAGATCACCGAAAAGAGAAATTGCTGAAATGGAAGTTGAAATTACGAGAAAAGAAGTGTTCCAATCTGAGCTAAAGATCGTAGTTAGGTATTGTATGGTTTGAAGTGAATTATCTTATAAATCATCAATCAGAACATAATTCAATAGAGAGTATTTAAAAATAAAAGTACTAGCCGTCGACTAAATAAATAAAAAAACGAGTAGTAGAAATGTCTTTTAGATGTAGAGGTGCAACAAATTCAATTCAAATTCCAACACCCTTGATTCAAAACCGCAAGTCTGTTATACATTTGTTACACCTCTACATAAATGTGATACGTATTATTGCTCGAATAGTTGTCACAAGGCCGAGACTGCTAGAAAAGAAGGTATCAGGATCGATGTGAAAATAACTACCGGACAAAAAAAACTTGGTTTCGCACATTTCTAGTCTATACTGTTTTGCATCTTATTCAATTCATTATTTTCTTATATCAGGATAAGGTTTAGCATGAGATGTTCGTTGTAATCGACGATTATTCGTTTCAATAAACTCATATATCACTTTTTGAAACTATTATTCGTGCATTGTAGCTTTTGAAGAAATAACGTTGCACAAAATGTAAGCTAAGATAGATATACTGGTTTTATATTTTTTTGTACTTTGATAAAAAAAAATATTTCACAATTTCTCTTATGATCTCATAATAGAAACAAATCGGACGACGAAAAAGCATATATTAAATAAAATACTAAGAGATTTCAAGTTCTTGAGCAATGACATGTCATAATACCAAAAGTATTATATTTTATTTTTAAACGAACAACTCTATCTCATGTTTTATCTCTTTTTCAAATTGATAGTGCCTTGTTTGTATCCAAAAATAAATCTTACCAATCATCGCTTCATTGAACCAAATCTCAATTTTGTTTATTTTTCTCTGTTAATAGATCAAAAGTTTTATATAAAGAAAAAAAACACAAAGTATACTACTAAAGTCAAGACCATTATCTATAGGACTATTTATTGATGTGGAAAATGCTAACTGAACTATGAAATGTTTGAATGATTCTCAAACGTGCATATAAACTGAAAGGCAAACAGGGGGAAATAATGTTCATCGATAAAACGAAAAAGAAAAGCACGATGACATATTTAATTAACACTTGTTGAAGAAGACGGTTGAGATGAAGGAATAGCAAGTGACGGAGAAGAAGAGAGAGTAACAAGACGCGCACGTTCACGTTCAGCAGCTTCTTTAACATAGGAACTAAAATAAGACAATAAAAATTTCTAAATAAAATACAAAATTTAATAATATAAATACATACTAATCATTATAAGTTGGTTGACCTTTCCATCGAGCAATCAAATCATATTTATAATGAAGATACAAAAAAGTATAGAATGTAATACCACAAATAAAAGGAAGTTGAGGACGATCCATGAAAAACCATTCAACAAATCGACGACCACGAAAAGCAAAAAGACCTTCTTTGAATAAACCCATAGTTTTGATGATTATTATATGAAAATTATTGTCGTTTCTCTTGTGCTTTAGTCAGTACTTCTCGAGCACGAGCTGTACGATTCCAACCGATTATATCAGGTCTAAAATTAGAAAATAATTCGTTTTTTTTCATCTCTCTTTTCTATTTACCTAATATATTCAAGTGGGACTAATAAATAAAAACAGGCAGACAATGTAGCAATAAGAACAGTAGCTGTTGTTACTGAAATAGAACCACCACTAGGTGCAAATATTCGTCTCGTACGAACTTTTAATGGTTTAACACTAAATGGATCGTATCCAGTTGTTGATTGTTTTGTAGTCATTCAATATTTTTTATCTTTATCGACAGCAGGTGGCGATAAATAAGGAATACGAAATCCTAATAAATGACGACGACGTTCAGAAGGTGGAACAAGTGCTGGACTAGAATAATTAACGTATTAAAAAAGAAAACATTCATATCATATTTCTTTTTTCGCAACTAACTTTTGTTGAATAGACCACCAAGATATATGAATACCAAAAAGAAGTGCAGCTATAGTAACAATTGGACTTAGACGAGTTTTATAAAATTTAACAAATCCCATTCAATCAACAAAAAAGAAATAACAAGAGAAATTTATCTACAATATCGAAAAATATGTAGCACCAAAATCTTCCAGAATATTTATTAGATGAAGAAGAAAAAAAAAAGTTTCAATAGATGAACATATGAAGAATCAGTTATGAGTTTATTGTGAGCCTGAATAATTCATAATTCTTTATTTGCCCAACTTAAGTGGACCTTTGCCAGTTGCTTTCTTCTTAGCTTCTAGAAAATAAAATAAAAGAAGAATATGAATAGAATAAAACGGCAAATAGATATTCTTTTCCAATTACCTTCAAGTTTCTTTTGTTCTTCACGTTGTTTTTCTCTAAACGCTTTCTCATCTTCATCTAATTCTTTGTCTTCTTTTTTTGGATTTTTTCTAATAAAAAATACATAAACTAACTTAGAATATTATTAATTGAAAGAAAAATAAAACTTACAATGGTTTTAATTTACCACCTTGACGACCTGACATTGTTTTCCGTTCGTTTTTCGAAAATGAATGTGATGCAAACTAAATAAATAAATATTAATGGTGCAAGAAATTATACAATGAGTCATTACTAATTTTCAATGACCAATCTATTAAAGAAGCACTTAATGACCTTTTTATTAAAATTTATTTATAAAAAAGAATTCAAATTAGAAAAGAATTTTCATTTATTTTAATGCTTTTATTTTGCGTGAATGTTATAGAACGACATCTTCATTGCCATTTTTTTTCTTTCTACTGTTTTGCCCTTCTCACTCATAACTAAAACCCTTCTATCGCTATCATCATTGCACATTTATTCTTTTTCTTTTACCAATCGAGAGCTTTTGTAAAATACAAAAAATGCCTACAACACGTTACCATAGACGCCAATAAGAAAGAACGAGTGTGAACGACTAAGGGTAGAAGAAGAAAAAAAAAAGCAACAAACAGATGTATGTTTGTGCACATATAAATCGGTACTTTTTCATTTTTTTTTGTAGAGTATATAAATATGGCGGGAGATACTGAACTCAATGTTGATAATTTGATAGCACGATTACTGGAAGGTAAAAAATGATAAAAGAAAATATATTTTTTGTTAAATAAAGGATGTTATTGTTGTTTATCTAGTACGCGGATGTCGACCGGGAAAAATTGTTCAAATGACGGAGGGTGAAGTACGTGGATTATGTTTGAAGTCTCGCGAAATATTCCTTAGTCAACCAATTTTACTTGAACTTGAAGCACCATTAAAAATTTGCGGTAAAAAAAAAAGGAAAATACCTTTTATTTATTTATTTTATATATTAATTTTGTTTTTAGGTGATATTCATGGACAATATACTGATTTACTACGTTTATTTGAATATGGTGGATTTCCACCTGAATCAAATTATTTATTTCTTGGCGATTATGTTGATCGTGGAAAACAATCACTTGAAACAATTTGTTTATTACTAGCTTATAAGGTTTCTTTTTGGTCAATTTAAATAAACAATATTTGTCTTTGTATTTTTTAGATAAAATATCCAGAAAATTTTTTTCTTTTACGTGGAAATCATGAATGTGCTTCGATTAATCGAATTTATGGATTTTATGATGAATGTAAGAAGAAGATATATAGAAATCAAGAGAAATCTTTTTATTTATTTATATTAATACATATATGTTTTTAGGCAAACGTCGTTATAATATTAAACTATGGAAAACATTTACCGATTGTTTTAATTGTTTACCAATTGCTGCTATAATTGATGAAAAAATCTTTTGCTGCCACGGAGGTATAATTTTCATACATTTTGTCACGAAAAAAAGACATTATCAATCTCATCTAGATAAACTTTAATTCATATCTATTCAAATAGAGATTAACAAGATTGATGATCATATTTTTTGACAGTCCTATGTGAAAAATAATCATACATTTAAATCTGTTTAATAATTTCATTCTTCATCATCAAGGGACTAAACATCAACTATGATTTTCTTTTCTTGGCTCATAATCTAAATATAGTAAACGTTCTATTTCCTGAGACAATAATTCTTGATAAGAAATATAATAATGGGGATTATATGAGCTAGAATGACAAATAAAGAAATTTTTTTTTTTTTAAATCTTAGAGTTCAATGATAATATTAGAAAGTTTTTTTTTATAAATTCAAAAGGCTCATAATCAGTTTATAATTAGTGTTGTGTTTTTTGAATTCCAGGTTTATCTCCCGACCTTCAAACCATGGAGCAAATTCGACGAATTATGCGTCCAACAGATGTTCCTGATACTGGTATATAATTTAAACTAGAAAATTTTCTACTTATAACCTTCTATTCTTCTCTTTTTTTTGTTAGGTTTATTATGTGATTTGTTATGGTATGTAATTTACTCGTTTTTCTTTTTTTCTATTTGTTGACTCATGTTTTACATTATTTTATGCCAGGTCTGATCCGGATAAAGAAACTCAAGGCTGGGGTGAAAATGATCGTGGTGTTTCATTTACATTCGGCGCTGATGTTGTAGCTAAAGTATGTCGATGCAATTATATTTTTTCATATGAATAAAATTTTTTATTTATTCTTTTTTCTTTTTAGTTTTTAAATAGACATGATATGGATTTAATTTGTCGAGCTCATCAAGTATGTAAAAATAATTCTTTTTATGAATAGAAAATATTTTATTTTTATTTAAATAGGTCGTCGAAGATGGTTATGAATTTTTTGCTAAACGTCAATTAGTTACATTGTTTTCAGCACCTAATTATTGTGGTGAATTCGATAATGCTGGTGGAATGATGTCTGTTGATGAAACACTTATGTGTTCATTTCAAGTAAATATTTTAATTTTTCTTTTTTTGATATATGATTAGTTTTTTTCTTTTGCTTTTCATTAGATTTTGAAACCAAGTGAGAAAAAAGCTAAATATCAATATGGTGGTCTTAATAGTGGTCGACCATTGACACCGCCACGTGCACCAACTACAGCTCCGCCTCAAACTCAGCCTAAAGCCAACAAAAAATGAACAATGATAATAAAAGAAAAAGAAATATGTTTTTTTTTGTTTGTTTGTTTATTTGTTCCTTTCGATTGATCGTGTATATAAAAATAATATCTTCGAGCTTATTTGTGCTCGCATCCTTTCTTCTTTTTTTCTCCTTCCTGATTCATTTTGATCATGTAATGATGTTTGATTTTTCTCTCGTACCGTAATTCAAATGACAGAGAGAGAAAAGACAAAATGGTGAGCAGAACATTTTTTTCACCGTTGGTTTTTTTTACTAAATGTTCAATGGCCTACTATTTGCTATTGATTGCGTTATCATTGTTATATTATTATTTAGCTATTTCCACCCAGTGTTTTTTCTTTTTTTTTCTAGCATAATTCTTAAAAAAAGAAAGATTTTTTTGACATCATTCATTCTCTATATTTCTTCTTTATTATCTCATTGAGTTTTGTGTGCTCTTTGTTCATCACATGTGTTGTTATCATTCGCTTTCTCAAATAAATTTTTTTTCTTTTCTTCTATCGCTTTCGCTTCTTGTTTTTGTTTCTTTTTTTTTCATCTAGAAAGTCATTTCAATAAAAATTTAAAAAAAGCAGAGATATTGAATATAAAACATATATATAGCTGTTCTTTTAGTCAGATTCTCGAGATAATAGATTTTCTGTCGGTTGTGTAAATAGATTATGTCTGATGTTTGCTACTTGGAATAAGCCTGGAAAAACAAAAATACTGACAGTTATCGCCTGTATTGTAAAAAAAATCCTAGATTTGTTGATGTTGTTTTGCAACAGTCTTTTCTGATTCAGTCGAGTGTTTATTCAAAACGTCAAAAAGCTAAAACAGTAAATATTTTCTTTCTCTCTCTCAATGATTATTCAAATAATAAATTTTGTCAAATTTAAATACTTTTATTGATAAAGTTTGAATAATAAATGCAAAGTTTTGAAATATACCAAGTTTCTTTTCGCTAGGGAAAAACATTAATATTTATATTGAATTCTTACTGAGTACGATCTGAAAGGTTCGAAAATATTTTTGACTAAATATAGTCATTGATTTAAAATGTTTTGTCCTTGTTCACAATTCAATCAAACACTACACCCATGCATAATGTATGATTGAATACGAAAAGTCAAATGTACTTCAATGCCGTAAAATGGTTGTTTATTTGCGTTTCATTTGCTTTTAGTTTATTCTAATAAATGCAAAAAATGGTCAAAAAGTTATATAATGAAACTTCTTATTATTTTGAATTTGCAATTATGTAATATCAGTTTTTTCAAATGTTGAACTTCGACGGCTTTAAACTAGTAAATGTTAATTATGGAGATACCTTTCGAAGACGGACTGATACTATTTGTACAGATACGTTCGAGTATATATATATATGTAGTAATTACTTAGGTGTTAATATTAAGAACGTTCAATAGAGTGTATTGAATTGAAAAATTCATCTTCCGGGAATTATTTTTGTACTGAATTGCATTGGTTTCATTAAGATTTCTATTGCATTTTATATTCGAATAGTACTCCATAACACCTTCTATTTGAACATTGAACTACTACCAATGAATCTTTGAATTTTATTGATTGTTAATGTGTAAATGGAAGCATATGACGTTCATTGGATACTAAAGAATAAATATGGGAAAAGAAATAATCAGAAGATAAATAACATTCCTGCTTACAAATATTTATGACAAATAATAGTATGACAGCTGGCCTTCAGAATTAATCTATAAATAGATTCATAAAGGGCAGTAATCAATTTATATGACTGATCGAATCAGAGACAGTTGGAAATGTACCCATTAAGTCTATTTAGCTTTACTTTTAATACAGAAAAATAACTTTAATTTAAGATTAAAGTGTAGAGAGTACATAATCTAAGATTATATAGAAATCATGTCAAGTAAAATTTCCTTTCTTTTTCCGAAATGATAATCTAATATGACATAAATGATTCTTCAAATTCAACTTATGAAAAGCTAATTGATTGTTTGACAATTTGTCTCAATAGTGAAATAGCTTTTCAATAGGCTTAATCATAATCGTTTTCAGAACAAACCCTATGAACTTCTATAACCAAAATCATTTGAATTTTATCTCATTATTTTTTTATAAAGGAGCATTCTTCTATACTATTTTTGTTATATATTGTATGAACAACATAAATAGAGTAGAATGCATCTACTCAGTCAACCGACGTACTTTTGTTTGATTTTCATCGTGAACATATATATATATGTTGCTTTTTATAGTACCGTGCAAATAAATCACCTATACGACATCAAACATAACATATATACATTTTCATTCATTCTTTTTTTCATAGCATAAAACAGTATGAAAAAAATCATTGCACATATTTCGACTCAATGAAAGAAGACAAATGAAATATACTTGAATCTATTAAATATTATGTAACGAAATACAAACTGTCTATTTATCATCTAAACTACGTAAAGTTAATCTATAAAACTGAATCGAGTCATAGAATATATTTTATTTTTGTTGTGGAACTAAAACAATTCTCCAGACAAGCAAGAATTCTTATTTAGAAATAAACTTAACAAACCATGTAAAGTTTTCCTTTGAATAACAGAATAGAAACTATAACAAGCAAGGCATGTTGAAAGAAGAATATTATGGATAGAAAGAATCTGATAATGTCAAGAAAAGCGATAGTCTTAGACAAAGATCTAACTAATAATCGAATAGATCGCTCTATGAAATTAAATTATAGACAAGAATACAAATAAACATTATCGTGGCATTTAAAGTGTTAAATATTATTTCCACATTATGAAAAGAAAAGTCAGAACTAATTGACTAAGTAATCAATAAGAATAGCTAATATAAAATTTATTCTATCGATAATTATAAATGAAAAATGAAAACTTTAATAATTCTTTTCGTATTCTATAACACGACAATTAATCAAATATGTTATTTTTAACCTATGCAATGAGTAAAAAGAAAATCGACAAACAAATTTTTTTACAAAAATACTCATATACATAGAAAAAGTAAGAAGAAATAAACCAATAACAGACTTCGTAGTTGTCCTTTGCGAATATATAGGAAAATATAAGATAAACTGTTTTTTAGAAAAAAAAACTTTTTAAAGAATTTGAGAAAAAACTTCATTTGAATGTAGGCTCAAATTTATCAAAAACTAAGGACAACATTTTTTTTTGTATTCGGAAAGCTAGAACTAAGTGATGGCTTATTACTAATACGTATATTTACCATTATTATGTGGGTGTGAGTGCAGATACGTATATAGGATTTTTGACTGGGAGGTGAAACAAATTTTTTGTATCTTGTTTTGAGAAGGCTTTTAGTTCGTGTGCGATAGATATGATACTAAATATTTTTATTTCTGAACTATTCTATACAGTGAAAAACGAAAAGAAGAATATATATATCTATTTAATTAAACAAAGACTTCATTGACTACATCTGTAAAAGTCAGCTGAAGTTTTGTTTTGATAAACTCATCACTGATATCTTCGATATATAGTTGCAGAGCGATGTTCTCATAAATATTGATAGCAGTCAAATGATTAAGTCTTTCATCACTTGTCCAGTTACGTAAATAAGATTTCATTAACTTCATGATAGAAAATGAACGCTCAGTAGTAACTATTGACATCGGTATTTGACATCTGAATTTGCGTGAGAATAATGATTGATGTATTCGGTTGCTTGAATAACAGAACCTTGATGATATTCAAGTTTATGATGATTCAATAAATAATCAATAGCGTCGTTTAGCTATCTTAATTGTCTATTAACAAATTGTCAAAGACTCCAGTTTCTTCCTTTCCTTGAAAATAAAACACAATACCCGCAATAAACTTCTAGATTCATTTTCGAATATATCAGTCAAAAGTGTTGACAGATTAATCGAATTTTTACATATTGTTCGACTTTTTGAAAAATATAATTTGATGGTGAAATGCATGGTTCCATTAACAGTCGATTTAACAAAGGAAAATCTTTCGTAGCTAGTTAATTTGACACATATAATTCAATCTCATCATCCTTGACAGATGCATTAATAATGATGGTAGAATTTTGATTAACAAATAATGAAGAAATAGCAGCTGAAATTTCTTTGTTATTATCAATTTCAAGCTTGTTGTTGTCTTTGGAATTATAGAAATTATCTGTTGTAAATTATTGACAGTTTTTTATTTATATCACATTTAAATTTCTTGTTCGATACGAAATATGTACTAATATCTTTCTGTTTTATATTTAATATTTTTGTTAGAAGTTTGCCGAAAAAAATACTACACTGATACTGTTGTATGTGGATCATCAAGTACAAGAACATACGTGTGGTTAGATGCATCATACATATATTTGATATGAATTATAACAAATGAAGTGTCGACACAAATACAAATATTGTAAGTTGATAGTGCAGCTTTGGTTTCAAAGAGTGGAAATTGATCAACCCAATCTCTGGTCAGTGAACGTTGCTGCTGAATTCCGAATGTTGAGTTTTCTCTCACTCACACCCTTTTCATCTGGAATTTTGGATCATTTTGTATTTATCACCATTTTTTATCTTGTGTTCTTCTATTATTGTTCGATAGATTCAGATTAATAACTCTATTCCTTCATTTAATATAGGATTAATTACAATTCTAAAGATACTAGTGGCCTTTTTATTCAATTTTTCATTTTATTACGATTTCGTTGAGTTTATTTGCCCAATGAAAAGATAAATAAATATATCAAAACGATGCATTGAACTGTATTGTATAAAGAACTCAAAAAGTAAAAGATTAAAAATGAAAATTTTCTTTTAGAAGTACTATACCAATAGTTGTAGTTATTTTTTTTATTTCAAAGAGAAAAATATTGTGATAAAATTGATTCTCTTTTATATTAGTTTACTTGTTAAAGTCTTCATTAATCTCTTTGTTTTCGATTTGAAAAGTAGTCATTTCTTGTGAGAAAAGATGTAAAAGAAGTGTTGCAATATGCCGGGTACAAATTT